TTTAACTCTGAACAAACGAGAATCAGTGGCCAAAATCTAACCCAATCCTTTTTCTGATGTCTGACATTTCAAACTTCGACTGGTCTCAAGTTTGTAAACAGGCAACCTTGTTTTTGTTACCGCTCTAAAAACGTGAGTGCTTAATTTAAATCCGTTTTCAGGTTTCTGTCCATGTGTGCCAAACTCAAAGGTCAGCTCCCATTTATTTAGAAAAGTGTCATTCATATCAGTAGTTCTGGCTTTGTCATGATGAGTCGTTACTTGTGCAGAGAGTGTGACTTTGTATTGCACTGAGGGCTGGAACCCGGCTGTCCAAAAAATAAATCAGCATGAGGAAAATCCAGTCCTTGGTTAGTGTTCTCATTAAACAATGAGTGAAAGTATTAGGTTCACTTATGTAATGTGTTTATAAATTTGACTAGAATACAGTAAAGCAATGTATGTAGCTATCATTGTTAGAATACTAAACACTGACCAACATAGTGGAGTTTTTGGCATTGGAGGATAATGAAGAACATTCCTAAAGAAATTTAAATTTCAGATAGTCTCATGTAAACTATGCAAGGAAAGATGTTCTGTAAGTATTTAAGGTTGCATAGAGTGTATTGTACGCCTACCATGGTTTTAGCATTAAGAAAGTCGAGTGCCTGTGAATTATTACTTATCAGTATGTATATATAGACATATAGGTAGATTTTAATGTTTTGCTTTCAAGGGAGCTCTTGCTGTATAAAAACAATTTTCCCTTTTTCTGGCCTTCCTATGTATAATAATAAAATCATGTCTGTGAAGTATTTAAACACATGGAGGGTCTTTTTTTTTTTTCACAGTGGTTAAAAGGCACAGGTAGTTGCAGTTACAAAAGAGAAACTGCAAACCATGCGAACTCTGGGAGCAAGGTCTTAGCATGCTGGTTGTATGTGCTGTACCCCATGCGGACATGGTCACTTAGATGAAGTGTACGCACACACACGCACACACACATGTTGAGATTTGAGGCCTCCCTGCCAAGTCTGTTGCTGCTAGAGAGTTTCTCTCTGTGTACACCTGTCCTAGCTCAGAACCATGTCTTTACAGGCTGCAGGACTCGGGACATACAGGTAGTCTCCCTGACACTTAGACATTCCCCAACTTCTCAGTCCTGTAGCCTGCAGCAGCTCATCTTCCCTTCATTTCCCCCGGGATTCCACAGGTTCTCTTCACAGACCCAGTTATCCTCCCTCCTGTGGCCTCCACAGCACCCTTCTTCTAGCCTATCTCCATTCTTACGTGTTCATCTTCCAGTACCTAGAAAGAAGTTCTGTTCTGGACCAGTAATAGCCACACCTTGGAGGGTTTCAGAACTCCATATCATGCAACCCATAGCCAATACATTCTTCTAAGATCAAGAAAGACAGCAGAAACCAAGGAGTGAAAAATCAGCTTAACAGAGACAAGACCTGATAATCAGCACCTAGAATCATAGTCATCCCAAACCCGGGTCTTACAAAACATAGGATAATATGTGCCCACTAAAGCCCAGAAGCTCTACCACAGCAGAGCCGAAGTGAAGATAAGAGCTTCAGAATAGCCTTTATGAATAAGTTCAGGGACCTTAAAGAGGATAGTAATGAAATCTATGCAACACAAACAAACATTGGAATGAAATGAAGAAAACAGTTCAAGACATGAAAATAGAAATGAAGTCACTAAAGAAAACCCAAACTGAGATAATACTAGAAATAAAAAATTAAGGGAGCCAAATAAAACCTCAGAGACAAACTTTCATAGAATACAAAAGAGAAAATCTTATGCACTAGAGACAGACTAAGTGGATACCATGGTCAAAGAATATGTTAAATCAAAAAAAAAACAAAACAAAACAAAACAAAAAACAATCCAGGCACAAAGCGTCCAGGAAATCTGAGGCACTATGAAAAGACTAAATCTAAGAAGAGTAGGAATAGAAGGAGAAGAAATCCAGGTAAAAGGTAAAGAAAATATTTTCAACAAAATTGAAGAAGAAAGTTTTCCTAACTTTAGAAACTGCACATCATTATCAAGCATCAAAAAAAATAAAAATCAAGGATAACCGAATGGTTTGGGTTTTTATTGAATGTATTAGTACTATTCCCTCCACAAATTATCCTATTTAGTTGTTTGTTTGCTTTTTCATTCATCCCCCAATAAGCTGGACAGTGTCTTGTTGACTTCCTATTTTGCAGATAGATTTTTGTCCCAGCTGTCTCTTAGGGTGACTGGTTTATGTTAAATCCTAAATGTTACCGCTCAGTGTGTAAGTAGTCCTAGGTGCAGTTTCCTTTTTCAGGCTTGGACTGTTAATTTCCAAAGCCAAGATCGTTGGTAAGCATGTTCATAGGTTAGCTCTACATTTGCTTTTAACGGGGGTCCAGTGCCTGCATCACTTTTTTTTACATGCTTTTGCTTATGCACTGAGAAGGGATTTTTAAGTATGCCAGCGCAGGTGCACCATATCCACCAATTCGTATTTTCATCACATGAATTCCTTCAGCTCAGTTGTTCTCAAAATTCCCAATGCTGCAACTCTTTAATACAGTTCCTCATGTTGTGGTGACTCCCAACCATAAAATTATTTTGTTGCTACTTCATAACTATAATTTTGATACTGTTATGAATTGTAATGTATGTACCATTAGAATCTGATAATGTGACCCCACAAAGGAGTAACAACCCATTGAGAACCGCTGTTTTAGATGATCATATCTTTGTTATTATTGTTATTGTTATTTTATTCTCTCATATAATACATTCCAACTGTAGTTCCCATTCTCCTGTCCTCCCAGTCCTTCCTCCCACCTCTTTACCCCAGCTCCACTCCTCCATTTCCTTCTTCCATGCCTACCAAACATGGCATATCAGGTTGCAATAAGACCTCCCATCCTATTAAGGCCAGAAAAGGGTCCTGAAGTCGGACAAAGGAGTCAGAGACAGTTCTGTTCTCACTGTTAGGAGTTCCACAAGAACACCAAGCTATACAACCATAACATATATGCGAAAGACATAGGTTCTCTAATTGTTGCTTCAGTCTCTGTGAGGCCTATGCCCTGGTTAGTTGATTCTGCTGGTTTTCTTCGGTCCTTGATTCCTCTGATTCTACAATCCTTCTTCCTCTTCCAGATCCCAAGATCCGCCTAATGTTTGACTCTGGATCTCTGGATCTGCTCCCATTAGCTGTTGGAGGAAGCCTCTCTGATGACAGTTATGCTACACTTCAGTCTACAAGTATAGCAGAGTATCATTAGGAATCATTTCATTGACTTTTTTTTTTTTCTGTCTGCAGTTTTGTTTTGTTCTATCATAGGATCCTGAGCTATCCAGCCTCTGGTTCTTGGCCCTCCAGACAGGTCAGGGCTGAGCTCCCTCTCAGGGCATGGGACTTAAGCTAGACCAGTCATTGGTTGGACATTCCCTTAAGTTCTGCTCCAGGTTTACCCCAGGGCATCCCTGCAGGCAGGACAAATCGTAGGTCAGTTTATGGCTCAGTTGTCCCAATCCTTCCACCAAAAGCCTTGCCTGGTGAGAGAAAATGGTCAGTTCAGGCTCCTCTGTCCATCACTAGGAGTCTTTGCTGGAGCCACCTTGCAGGTTCTTTGGGTTTTTGTTACACTAGCTTTCTACCTCACCTTTGATATAGCCCCCATTTCCAGTCCTTTTCCCAGTACTCTCTTCCTCTCCCCCACCTGATTCTTACAATTGCCATCTCCACCTGCCTCCAGTCCACCCTCAAAAATCAGTTCTATTTCCCCTTCCCAGGGAGATTTATGCACCCCTCCACCCCCTTGAGCTCTCCTTGTTACTTAGCCTCTCTGGCTCTGTAGATTGTAACATGATTATCCTTTTATAAGTGAATACATACCATGTTTGCCTCTCTGAGTCTGATTTACCTCACTCAGGATGGTATTTTCTAGTTCCATCCATTTGCTTGACAATTTCGTGATGTTATTTTCATTAACAGCTGAGTAATACTTTGTGGAAATGTTGCTCCTTTTGAATTTCATTGCTTACTTTTTCCTATTGACTATTCTGTTCATCCTAAAGTATTTACAATTGTTTACTTCTTTGGTTTTTCTTTTCTATGTTCTTGTTCAAAGTAACGAAAAATTTGGGTTGTTTTTTTTTTTTTTCTCCTCTAAAATAATTTAGAATTATTATCCCTTAGAATTTTTATCCCTTTTTACACCTTCCCTTTTTTCAATGTTTTGTGCTTATTTCTGTTGTGGTACCATCATTATTAGGGTCTTGGAGAAGATAGAAAGACAGTGCACTTCTACAGTGTGTCATTTTCTGAACAAAAAGCAGCATCTGTTTCAGTTTTAAATAGCAAAATGTTAAAGTTGTGCTTCACTGTGATCACACATATCATTAATTTTTCCAAATTAAAATACCGTTACTCCTTTTGGTATGTTTATTGCTATGCAATTTTATATAATTGCATGTTTTTATTATCTGTTTACTCTGACAGGATGGGTTTATAAATTGTCTGATCATGCATCTGTACAGTACACAGATGATGTCACACTTTCTGCATTCATACTCTTGTGGTTCTCCTTTCCCGTAATGCTGAGGACTGAACCCAGGGCCTTGCTCATGTTAGGCTAGCATTGTTACTCCCGTAGTCCTCACTATCAGTGTAATTATATTTGTTATGCAAATTTTATTTTGTTTACTTAAATGTATTCATCTCTTTTGTGAATTTTAAACTTTAACAAAAAAGTTATTTTTTTTCTCCAGAAAAATAATGTAGACTATTTCTGTTGTCATTGTATGTCTTAAGGGTAATTTTTGTGGTTCACTTTTTCAGATTAATTTTGCAGTGGCATTGAAATCCAAAAACATGTCTGTATCTCGTTTTTGCTTTAAAAATCTTAATGGAGAAGAGTTAAAATTTGTTTGGTGTTATTTTTAAATAAGTGTGTTCTAATTTTATCAAATGCTTTGAAATACTTTAATTTACTTGTTAAATATTTTTTGCTTCCCAGATTATTGCTCAGTTGTAACAATTGTGGACCAGACAAATGTGAAGTTAACATGCATGCTCTTTAGTGGGAACTATGAAGCCCTTCCGAGCATTTATAAAGTTGGAGACATTGTTCGCTTTCACAGGCTGAAGGTATAATTCATACTTTCTGCAACCTACATTATTAGACATGAAGTCTGTATTGTTCACTAAAAGCCATTAGTACTAATTCTATGAGTGCCTTGTTAGAATGTGACACTAAGCATTTCAAGAGACAAGAAGTGTAAATAGTATCAGGCTTCATAAAGTAGCTAGACACCTCTTCATTTAAATAAATTGCTTGTCTTCTCCTAGACATGCATTAGAACCTGGGATTCCTACTGGTTCCAGTTTATCCTGTCACTTCCAGATATGACTGTTGTTATCAAGTTTCCATGTAGAAATTGTAAGGGGTAGGATACATCCTTGTTATTTCTTTTTAATTAATGTCATTTTATTTAAAACTGGGTTCTTACTGGGTTGCTCTGCCTGGCTTCAGATTCCTGAAGTATGATTTGGTAGTTCTGGTAAGCTGAGGAAGGGAAGACTGAAATTCCACTCAGCTAAGAGAACTTAACTCTTCAGGGCAAGGCACTCGAGAGAAAAAGGGGTACAGATTGTATACAGAAGTTGCTGGGCTTGGGGGTAGGTATCTTGTCCATGAGGATGGCTGAAAGCTGGGCTCTGGTCAGTGATAGGTAACCTTACACCTTTTAACACTTTTCTCTTTTTCTTATTATTGTGACAAAATGCCTGACACGTTCAACTTTGAGCTCGTTTTCGTGGCAGAGATATTGGCAGCATGGTTTCTCATTGACTGCCGGAATAGGAGGAGGCAGAAAAGAGTAAGACTAGAACTAGAGGTGATAAGAGCCTACACCTAGCACCTAGGGCCTGTGTTCCCTAGCTGCTGCAAACAGTGCTTCCACAGGAGCCTGGAGTAAGCTTTTTACAGAAACCATAACTAGGACTTTGTGCAATTTTAATAAGATCCCACAGAGCCCTACTTATCTCACAAAGAGCATCATTCCAGAAGAAAGCTCCTTATATGCATATGCTGTCAATACTAAGATCTGTCACCTAAAGAAACTAATCAAGAGGGAGGACCCTGACTAAAATGCTCAATCCCCATCCCGAAAGGCAAAGAGGATGGACATCAGAAGAGAAGAAAACAGGGAACAAGTCAGGAGCCTGACACAGAGGACCTCTGAAAGGCTCTGCCCTGCAGACTATCAGTGCGGATGCTGAGACTTATGGCCAACTGTTGGGCAGAGTGCAGGGAATCTTATGAAAGAAGTGGGAAATAGTAAGATCTGGAGAGGACAGAAGCTCCACAAGGAGAGCAACAAAACCAAAAAAAATCTGAGCACAGGGGTCTTTCCTGAGACTGGTATTCCAGCCAAGTACCGTGCATGGAGATAACCTAGAACCCCTGCACAGATGTAGCCCATGGCAGTTCAGTGTCTAAGTGGGTTCCATAGTAATAGGAAGAGAGACTGCCTCTGACATGAACTGATTGGCCTACTCTTTGATCACCTCCCCCTGAGCGGGGAGCAGCCTTACCAGGCCACAGAGGAAGACAGTGCAGCCACTCTTAATGAGACCTAACAGACTAGGATCAGAAGGAAGGAAAAGAAGACCTCCCCTATCAGTGGGCTTGGGGAGGGTCATGTGTGGAGAAGGGGGAGGAAGGGAGAAATTGGGAGGGGAGGAGGGAGGGCGCTACATGGGGGATACAAGTGAATAAAGTATAATTAATAAAAAATTAAATATATATATATTTAAAATAAAAAATAGTATAAATAAATAATAAATAAAATAATACATTTAGAAAAAAAAAAAAAACCTACAAGGTCTTCCATTGAAAGCAGTATGAAGGGTGGGTCCCACTAAGGCAGAGGGCTTTGGGACACACCTTGTGCTTTCTTCAGATTTACCCTAAGGGACCATAAACTCAAGGTTTTGTCAGGCTCAGGTGCCCAGCTAGCAACTTGCTGAGAAGACAAAACTGTCCATAGGAGTAGGCAATTAAATCAGAACCTTTAAAATCTTTTACTACAGTTTCTAGTTTAAAAAAAAAAAAAATGCTAGGTATGACTATAGGAGCTTTTTTCCAACAGTTAGTAGAAGAAAGTCCAAACCAATTCCACGGTGGCCCAGACATCAAGTCTGTCAAACAGTTTTACGTTAGATATTATAAGTTTAAAAAAAATTTAAACAAGGTATGTTCAGCAAATTAAAATGTTAAATAAAAATAAGTGGGTGAAAGTCCTCATAACATGGTTCAGTGTGTTTGATTGTAACGATGCCTTAGCTTCCACGGTATCCATTATTTCCTACATTTGTGTGTTCACGATTTCACTATCCCACGTAAATAACTGCCACATTATACTTTCATATAAATGCAAAAATGCAAGTTTAATAGAATTTGGATACTGTTACTTTCTTAAATATAAATTTTGTGGTGGTTTAAATTTTATCTACTATGTATCTTGATATAGCATCTGTTGATTGTATTGTGTTGTGATCTAATTCAATGTAAAAAGTAAGTACTGTTTTACTTATCCCAGAAAAATGCATCATTTTCAGTTTCTTAGGTTCCTGATTTTTGTTTGTTTTCTACTTTGTCCCTCTTTCTTAGATCCAAGTCTATAAAAATGAGCTTCAGGGAATCAACAGCCCTGGTTTCTCATCTTTGACATTTGAAGGAACCTTAGGGACTCCTGTCACAGCACGTACTTCAAGCAAACTTTTTAGCTTCACTCCTAAGGACCAAAAAGTAGTAGAAGCCTTGCGGGTTTGGGCATCCACGCACATCTCAGCGTCTTCCACTCTAGTACAGCTGTGTGATGCTCAGCCCATGCAGTATTATGACCTGACTTGTCAGCTCCTGGGTAAAGCAGAAGTGGACGGAACAGCGTTTCTTCTAAAGGTATCACTTAACTACTTGAAGCCGTGCTTTACCACCTAACTGTCATGCCTACAGCATTCTGATAGTGTTTGTGGACTGCATTTTACACTGGATTACACTTAAGGTATTGTTCTTGAAACACTCCCCCTTTTCACATAGTTCTACCCCTGCATTTCTCTGCTTTCCCTTCAGAGAAAAACAGTATTATCGGACATGAACTTGAGAAAAAGTCGACATTCATTTTGTCTTTTGATAATAACATGCAGAATTCTGTATGTCTTTAATGACACTTCTGTCTTGATATTTCTGCTGCTTTGTGAAGGTCAACTACGTTGTCACTCGTTTACTTTCTTCCTGGGTATTTTGCCATTAAGTCTGCCCCATGGCTTTCACTGCCTGAGTCATGGGAGTAGACATAAATAACTTTGAAATGTTTGTTGTCACCTTTGTTTTGTTTTAAAATCAGGAAAAAAAATGCAGCTACATAAATGGTATGTAATTTTCATTTACCCTCATACCACGAATAACGTGGGGAAGGTGGTTACTTAATTATTTTCCTTGCTTGACCATATCATAGAGGAGTTTTTAGCAGCACTGCTTTGGCTGAAGTCTTGTGGCTAATGCTCTGTTGTCTGTTTGGAATAATCAGACAAGGAATGAAATGTCATAGTGCTTGGACAAGACAGGGCTTAGTGTTACGGTTGCTGCTGGCACATTTTAAAGGAACACTGAGAAATAGAAATCACTGAATAAAATAGCAAGTATTTGAAATTGAAAGGACTGGCTTTATATAAATATAGATCATAGAAAGTAAATAATTATTTTAAGAAATGTGAAAGTAAGTCAGATAAAGCCAAGCTGAACCAAAAAAAAAAGTAAAATCATCAAGGATTCCCTAGCAAGTGTGGCATCCTTAACGTGTGACCATTTATTAACCAGCCATTCGGCATAACGAAGAACAAGGATGCTGGCTCTCTGCAGGTCGCAGCGGTGGACTGTTAGCCCTGTAATCACCATGTACCTGACTTGAGACTGCGTGTTTGTCTCTAAGGAACCAAGGTGTGCCTGTAGCCTATTTTAATAGATAACCCATCTTCAGATAGGTCCACCTTGGAGAAAGGGCTTATTAGATTGTCTTTTCACGTGTATTCTTTGAGAATTTCATAAATGTCTTCAATGAAGTGTGATCATATCCACGTTCCATTTCCCCCTTCATCTCTCCCTCATTCATCCTCACAAAATATCCCACTGCCACCTTAATGTCCTTTCCCCCCCTTTTAAAAAAAAAAAGATTTATTTATTACTTATAAAACATTCTGCATGTACACCAGATCTTACTATAGATGGTTACGAGCCACCATGTGGTTGCTGGGAATTGAACTCAGGACCTCTGGAAGAACAGCGAGTGTTCTTAACCTCTGAGCCATCTCTCCAGCCCCTTTCCCTATTTTTTAATAACTCACTAAGGTCATTTAGTGCCGACCATATGTGCTTGAGTGCGAGTCCATTCAGTGGGTCATGGTAAACCCACCAGTGACCACATTCTCAAAAAAGCTAATTAATTCTTCCTCCTCTAGGAGCTGTTGAGCCAGTAGCCCTCAGTTAGGGGTGGAGCCTAGTGGCTCCTCCCCCTCCAGGCTTGAACATTAACAGGTCTTAATACTGTCAGGGGACTTATTCTCAAATTCAGCATTGAGAAATAAATGTAAGAAAAGTAATAAGGCCTTCTTGGAGATAGCTTAATATGTCTTAAAAGTCTTTGCAAATCATTTAAAATTTATTTTAATGAATTTCTTTGATGGAAATGTATGAAGATGTACACTTGAAATAATATTTTACCTTATATAAAGCCAAAATCTGTATAAAACTGTAGTATTTGACTTTGTGAGCTATTTGGGTGTGCTAGAATGGTCTATAACTATACAGTGAAATCGTAGACTTAAACTTGAGAAAAACTTTAATAAGCTTCAGTAATAGTGTGCTTAGTAATGTACTAAAAATGTTCATACAATATCAGAAATATTCTGGGTAATATTTTGCTGTTACCTACTTTGAGGAAGTAGAATTATGACTGTTTTCTGATGCTGATTTTCTTATGTGTCAAACATAATTTTTAATTAAATGTTAAAAACAGAACAACAAAATTCTAAGATACAGTTATTAGCATGCAAAATATTATTTTCTTTTTCAACCCATGCACAATAGTAATTTTGCTCCCTGTTTTGGTAATCATGATATATCCATTTCTCAGTAGCCATGTGTTCTAGTATCACTTCTGTTGCTCTGATAGGACATTTTGACCAAAATTAACTTAGAAAAGGGAAGGACTATTTGGCTTACACTTCGAGATCACAATCCAGAGGGAAGTCCTCAAGCAAGAACTTTAAGGTGTCATATTCCAGGCCACATTATCTCTAGTGTAGAGTCATGAGCAGCCAAGAAGTGTGGCAAATGTAATGAAGGATGCTGTTGTTTGCTGGCCGGTGAACGAGCCTATCCTCAGTCAGCTTTCTTTTTTTTATTTTTTTAATATTAGTTACAGTTTATTAATTTTACATCCCGCTCCCTCATTCCCTCCCAATCCCATCCTCCCTCCCTCATCTTCTCCCTACCCCTTTCCCAGTCCACTGATAGGGAAGGACCTACTCTCCTTCCATCTGACCCTAGCTTATTAGGTCTCTTCAGGACTGGCTGCAAAGCCCTCCTCTATGGCCTAGCAGGGCTGCTCCTCCCTTGGGGAGGTGGGGAGTCAAAGAGCTCGCCATTGAGTTCATGTCAGAAATAGTCCCTGTTCCCCTTACTAGGGAACCCACTTGGATACTGAGCTACCATGGGCTATATCCAAACAGGGGTTCTAGATTATAGCCTTACATAGTCCTTGGTTGGAGATACAGTCTTATAAAAGACCCCTGTGCCCAGATATATTTGGTCCTTGTGGAGATCCTGTTCTCTCCAGGTCATACTAACTCCCCCTTTCATATCAATCAGCTTTCTTACTTGGCTCAGTACCACCTGCCTAAGGGTGATGCTGCCCACAGTGGCCAGGGCCCTCCTGTGTCAGTCAGCAGTTAAAAGCAAATCCCACACAACAAGCACACAGGCCAGTCCAATCTAGGTTTTATTTGTTAATTACCTGCATATGCATAGATATGTACATATTGATACAGATGTCTGGATAGGCCAGACCTCTTACAGGTCTTAGATCCTGTAAAGCTGAAGTTACAGGCAGTTGTAAGATGCTTGACATGGGTGGTGGAAACCAGACTAATATCTTCTGCAACAGCAATATGCATTATCAGTTGCTGAGCTATCTGTCCTCAAAAACCTTTAAACAAAGCATTATTCCATTGATTCTCATACAATGCAGATGCTAAAAATAACTTCTATGTTTAAATTTCTTTAAGCACATTCTGGTTTCTTGATGCTTGGTTTAAAATAGGCACAATCTCTTCGTTTTACTGGGGTTCATTTGTGTTTTGCTTCATAACTTTGTTTTTTGTAGTAACCAGAAGTTATACATACTCAGAGCTGAGAGATGTAGATGGGGGAGAAAAAAAAGGGAAGGAGGATGGAGGAAGAAAGAGAGTGGTATTTAAGCACAGAATAGAAAAAAAAAATTCAAAGTCCACAATTAGATAATATTTGTTTGGTGTCATAGAGTGACTTTTTCATTTTTTTATCTTTTTACATTTTTCTACATTTCACCAGTCGTTCATATTTATCCTTTTCACAATCACAGAATGATACGTATCACATTTAAAGTATTAAAGACACCTACAGCATACATCAGTTCATTTTAGGCTTGCCTAAAGATCATTAAGCTTCGCTTTTCTGTCCCATGGCAGGTATGGGATGGGACGAGGACAATGTTTCCCTCTTGGAGAGTCTCCATACAAGATCTGACTTTCGAGGGTGACTTGAGCCACATTCTGCAGCTACGGAGTCTGGTGATAGACATCCTAGTCTACGATAACCACGTTCAAGTGGCAAAGGCCCTGAAGGTGATGTTGGATAGACAGATGCGCCTTGTTTTGTTTTTATATTTTCTTCAGCTTTGTGATTTTTTTTCATGTAAGCTGTGTAGGCAATACTGGGCTGGAAATTAATTCAGATTTATTTGTCTTCAAGTTTTAAGTTATAAAATGAACATCTAAGTTTAAAACCTTTGAATGAGTTTTATATATACATTCATTTGAAACTTATTTTTTATTTGAGAATATAATTACATCATTAGCCCTCCTTCACCTTCCTCCTTCCAACCCTTTCATGCATTCTTCATTCCTTTCTCTCTTTCAAACACATGGCATCTTTGTTTTGTGTCTGTGTGTGTGTGTGTGTGTGTGTGTGTGTGTGTGTGTGTGTGTGTGTTGAGTGTGTATATGTTACTTGCATATGTTTTCAGGGCTGGTCATTTGGTAGTTGTCTTAGTTAGAGTTTCTATTGCTGTGAAGAGACACTATGACCACAACAACTCTTAGAAAGAAAAACATTTAACTGGGGCTAGCTTACAGGTTCAGAGATGTAATCCATTATCATGTGAAAAACTTGGTGTGCACAGGCAGACATGGTGCTGGAGAAGAAGCCAGGAGTTCTGGATCGGGATCAACAAGCAGCCAGAAGAGTGAACAGCAGGGCCTGGCTTAAGCTTTTGAAACCACAAAGCCCACCCCCACAATGACACACTTCCTCCAGCAAGGCCACTCCTCCTACTAGCACCACACCCCTATGGGCCTGTATGGGCTGTTTCATTCAAACCAGTACACCCTTCTCCCTGGCCCCATAGGCCTGTAGGCATATCATAATACAGACATGCATTCAGTTCAACTTCAGATATCCTTATAGTCTATCACAGTCTCAACCCTGTTCAAAAGTCTGAAAGTTTCTTTTGAGACTCAGGGCAATCTCATAACTGTAATACCCTGCAAAACCAAAAGCAAGAAGCAAATCACATAATTCAAACATGTAGTAGCACAGGATATACATTACCATTCCAAAAGAGAGGAAAGAGAACATAATGAGGAAACACTGTACCAAAATAAGACTCAATACCATGGAAGCTTAGCTGGGTATGGTGTTGCTCTGAGGTCACCAGTCCCTTTATTCCACTGAGCAGTAAGCTTTTCTTTTAATGTCTTCACAGCTGTTGCTGCTCCTTTTCTGTTCCGACTGTACATTTTTGTGTTTCCTTGTTGAGTGTGCTCCTTTTTTACAGCTCTGAGTTAACACTGGCCACAATAGTCACACTGCACAGTCAGAGCTAGCTTGCTTGGAGATGTCCTCTGCCACAGCTGTTAGTCCCTAACTCCTCAATTTAGCCTCAAGGCAAGTTTTTTAGACAAGGGTAGAAAGCAGCCACATTCTTTACCAAAATATACAAGACACCATCCTCCCCTGAATGCTTTCGAGCTTGGTCCCTACAGTCCAGTTCACTCTCAACACCACTCTCTCTGTGCTCTGACTAGCATGACCCATTTCCCTACACCAAAAGCATTTTACTCCTTTCCTAACCCAAAACCCAAAATCCATATTCCTCCAAACAAAAGCATGAGCAGGCCTATCACACCATACCCCAGTCCCTGGTACCAACTTTCAGATCACATCCAGCTCATGTTTTCTGGGTCCTATGTCCAAAGCCATGGTGTCTTAAGCATGGTGCCTTCCACCTATGGGAGACAACAGGAATAGCTGATGTTTTATGAGTCTCTCAGACAGCTTTGGCCAACAGCTCTAAAGATGACTTCATGTGTTGGGGTTTTTGTTAAATTATGGCTACTTACGTATTTTTTTCTATTGTAAAGGAAATTTGTGATATGAGAACTGTTATTTTTAAATAATCAAGGATGTTTAAAATATTAGTTACTATTTAAAAGAAATTACATATTTAATGAGTGATAAGAATAATGTAGTTGTAACTGTCAGAAAGCCATCACTAAAGCAGTATTTATCTCCACCATAATAAAAATGACAAGTTATTTAAATGGGTGGCGTTTGGATAGCATGCATATGTAAAACTACCACTACTGGTTTTAGTTTATATAGTCTGCATATAAGCTAGAAGTCTAGAAACAATGGAAATATGTGACCTTTCATCATACACTACATGTATAATGCAAAATATTATCCTTAGATAGTTTTCAAGTCCTTATAGGAAACAGTTTCACATTCTGTAGAGAAGATATATTCAGGTCACATATTTCCTTTAGCATCTCCTTCCTTTTGAGTCCCTGTATATGCTGGAGCAGAGTCTGAGGCGTTGCAAAGCAGACTCCACAGCTGCTGCTCTGGCTCCTGCTCATGCTTATTCTGTGGCTCTGCTGTAAACCACCGTGCCAGGCTCCAGGCAGTCAGGAGGAAGTCTGTGTTGCTGTATCAGTGTACCAATCACCACAAGTCACGACATCCAGGGAGAGCTGGAAACTGCCTCACAGGTTGGCCCCTGTGAGGTCACAGTAGTTCCCTGGGATGGACATGTGACTAAGGTTCTAGCCCCGCCCCAGCTCTAGAAATTTTCTGGATTGTGTAGAGTGTCAACATTATGTCCATATTGCTTGAGGAAGTTCTATACCACCTCTAGCACCCACAGAGATTCGGGTCTGTTTGTGTGGATTGTGTAGGCCTTGCTTCCTGTCTAGGGACATTTGGCAGCTCTTATTAAATTTAGACTCATAGATGGTAGAGAGTAGTTTTTCTTCATTTTTACAATATGTTTTTTTTTAAGTTTTTGATAGAAGATAACACTATCCTGAATAACAGTATCTAGAGTAATGTTTGCCCAGCACTCAAGGTGATTTGGGTATTATCCCAGGAGAGAAGTACTGGCTTTATTCCATTTTATGTGAAAAAGTAAGGCATTCAGAAGTTAAATCAGCAATCAATGTCTGTTTCCAGGTCTAGTAAACACTGAAAGGAAATGATCTTACTGTAGATCATTTCAACCCATTTTTAAAAAGAGAAAAAACAGAAATAAAACTACCTAATGTGCAGTTGGGTGCTGTTCCCTTTTATTAAGCAAATGTCCTAGAGCAGAAAACACTTGTACTCTTATGTTGTATTACGAACTGTCTTAGATGACTTAGATCAATAGACAATGTGAAGGGCAGGCACAGGGTTGTGACCACATCTTCTTTTTTTCTTTTTCTTTTCTTTTTTTTTTTTTTTAGAGAAAAAAATGTTTTATTTGGATTACTGTTCTACAGGGTTAGACTCCACCACTGTCACCACAAGGAAGCCTGTGACAGGCAAGTGTGACAGCTGGAGCAGTGAGCGGAGCGCTCACATCCGAATGTCAAGCCCCACCCCCCAGTGATGTTCTTCCAGAAGCCTCCATTTCCTAGACCTCCCAAGCAGTACATTAACAGGGCACAAATGTTCAAATGCCAGAGTCTATAGGGGAACATTCTCTTAAAAGTTATGATGTTGTCTATAAGCATTTGACACAATGGAATGTTTGGATATCCTGTTAATTTTCAGAACTCTATCCCGGTGCTGTCAACAGCCGTCTTGAAATGTTACCGTTGGGGATAGCACGGGAAGAACAGAGCTAGCTTTCTGTGTGACTACCTCTTACCCTTTACACGTGTGTGTGCAAGCAGGCACTTCTTGGGGGAAAATGCTTTTTAAGACAGACTTTTGAATTATTTCTCTGAAGATTCTGTCTACACTTGGAAGCAAGAATATTGATAACTCCAGTGCTTTCATCATACACAGGAAGGGCTCTTTACTGAGGAGAAAGGATGTACCTTTTACTCAGCTCTGCTACCTACTTCAATGACTTGATCGTTTGAATTCTCTTCTCTTCCTGTGCTGCTGTCCTAACTAGTCATGTGCCTACACCTGCCCTGCTTCTCTTTCCTAAATCTTAAACAACACATTGCAAAGGTTCTCAGGGCAGTGAGGGGTAAAGACTATCTGCTGGTTAGGCAGTTCAAGAATGTTGGGACAGGATTCCTGGCAATAATGCTGTATCCCCTGCATTGTCCACTAGAGGGGGGTGTGAGCACACATAGTTAGGAAAATAGATGGCATAGCATTTCTCTCAAAGACATAACATTATATCATTTGCAGAGCAGTAGCAGGATGCAGAACATTCTCTCTCAGTGTGGTATAACTTTACATTATTTACTATTCCTTCATGCCACTTTGATTTATTTTCTGACAACTCCTGAGGCACTGACAATAGGAAATTTTCAGTCACGTGTCATTGATGCAAATACCTTTTCAGCATTTCAGGTGTTATGTTTACATTTTCATATTGGCATACATTGGATGATTTCATAATTTGTTGTATAGGAGCAGAAAAAAATTTAATCATGACTTTATTAGGAAGTATAATATCAACGTCCATAAATTATACACTCTTACCCTGCTGCAGTTCTTAAAACAGTATAAAATGTACATAATCATAATCACATTTTGGCATTTAGTGGCCCAGTCATTGTAGTTAAGTATATAGGAAAATAAATACACTGTCCTGCTCTTTTTTTTTTTTTAATTGGATAATGCTCTTTTGTAGAGTCATAGGGATTTCTATAGATTCTAGCTATATATTGTTAATGCTTATCTACTGATTAGATGCTTGTAACAGATTACACTACACCTTTATGTTTTTCATTGTTAATTCTTTAGCTTGGAGCTTTGGAATCTTACTGCGTTACTAACAAGAATAAACAATACCTTTTTTTTTTTTTTTAATAATAGAGCATCAGGCAGC